ACTTGCCGGTCGACGAGATCGTCGTGGACATGATGATGCGGTCGATGTGGGAGGCCAGGCTATCCTCCGAGTCCGCCCGCTTGAGGCGCGGGTGCTGCTCCTTGGCGCGCTTCGTCGCCTCGAGGGTGCGTTGCGGAATGGTCTGGATGGGTGGGTATTGGTGTCGCTGGGCAGTGGTGTCCGGAGTCCAGGCGGCCGCGATCGCGTCGGCCAAGGTCTGGAACATCTCGTTGTCCGGATCGCCGAGCCAGGGGTCGGATTTGTTCGTGATCTCGACGGTCAGGTCGTTCTGCGACTCCAGACTGTCGAAATGCTCCTGCGCGAAGAGCGTCAGATTGGTCGCCACTTCGTCGGCGGTCTGGTTCGGCACCAATCGGATCGATAGACTGGCCTTGGCCTTGCGAGAGATCGTCGTCGTAGCACTCTTGCTGCTGCCGGGCACCTCGATGGAGTGGATCGTCAGGGAGGGCTCACGCCAGCGGTGCATGAGCGAGTTGATGAACGCGTCGCTGTCGGTGATTTCTGGGTGATGGGGGAGGAGAATGTCAGCGATCGCGGTGTACCGCTGCTTCTCCGCCTCGGTGAGTGGAAGAACAGGCTCATGGAACCCTGGCAGGTTGATTCGGCCCTTGGGTCCGACAAAGGTGCTCAGCAGCATTGTGAGATCCTTCAGTGGCTCGTCCAGTAACGAACTCCCGTCAATACCACTGTGCAGGTCGGGGTGGTCGCTCTGCACAACCAGGTTGGCGTTGACCACACCACGCAGCCCGTATGTCAAGCAGGGGTTGTAGTCATCAAGCCAGTAACTGTTAGCCAAGAGGATCCAGTCTACGGGGCCGATTTGAGGCTTATGCTTGCGGACTGTTTCGTGGAATCCCTGGGATCCCGACTCTTCTTCGCCTTCAATCAGGAAAACCACGTTACATCGGAGCGCTTTCTGTCGAGCGAGATCTGCGGCCGCATAAAGCGCCGCTAGAATGGGGCCCTTGTTATCTGACACTCCGCGACCATAGAGGAAGCCGTCAATGGAAGTGAGTTGATACGGGTCGGTCTTCCACTTCGCCGCATTCGCATCCGCCCCAACAACATCGTAGTGGCCGTAGAATAAGATTGTTTTATCGACCTTGTCTGGAGATGTAGCATCAAATCGAGCATGCACGATGGGGTTCGTGTCGGCTCCCGTGGTCAAGAGATCGGTCTTCGCCCCGAGATAGATGCAGTGACGACGAAGGAACGCTGCACCCTGGTTGCATTCAACCGCAAATTTAGGACTGGCTGACACAGTCTTGTAGGCGACAAACTTGGCCAGGGAGTTGACCATTTCATCTGTTCGAGATTTAGCTCACGTAAACGAACTACCTCGCCCCAGTCGCCATGCGGGACGTACCATTATTGATTGGCGGCTTTTCGGCTTGACCTCCCCGAGTCACGTCCGTCACGTCCCAAATGCCGACCGTATTGTCATTGCCGCCGCTCGCGTAGATGTAACGGTCTTTGTACCGACCAGCAGCAGACGCGAGCATAGTCCCCCCGTGAGCAACCCAGCTGCCAATCTCCTCGAAGCGCGAGTTGAATTTCTGCGGCACGCAATCAGTCGACGGTTCTGCAGCATCAAGCGAATCGATCAGGGGATCACCTACCTTGATCACACCGTTTGAATCTCCACAGACCGCCACGCCGTGGATAATGTCTACGGCCCACAGATCGCCGGTGTGCATGGCGATGCGTTTGACCAGCTGCCGCGAATCAAGGTTCCAGATGTTCAGCGCACCTCCAGCCAAACCACAGTAGAGGAAGGATCCATCAACGGCGATGGAGAGAACGGAATCGCCGTTCTGCAGCTTCGCGATCGGGGACGGAACGGCGTTGGCCGAGTTCTGCTCCAAACGCCACAACTTGACCACCCCATCGCCGGCACCCGTCAGAAGCACCTCTTCCTCTGGAGAAGACTCAATCAAGCCCTTGACCAGAAGCATGGTGTATACGTAGCCGTGGTGGGCGAAGAGCTTATGATGGTCGCGTTTGAAAGTCAGCACTTGGCCACCTTGCATAACTGAATGAGGTCCCTCGGCGCCTGCGTCCGGCCGCGGCGCACGCGAACCATCCGGACCCCTGGAGTCGAAAAAGCGATGGGTCCGTCGGGACAACTGCGCCGCTGATGACTGTGCTGAAGCTGCATCGACTTGGGAGATGTCGCACCACTGAGGGAATCAGCAATCACTAGCCCATGCTGACTAGGGTGGGCAAGAGACTGACCTGAATGCTGGTGTTCTGAGCACCGCAGTAGATCGTCTTCAAGCTCGACGAATAGGCGACCGCGAAGATGTCTCCAACATCGTGGTGGGAGTGGATCGAATACAGCCGGTCGAATGTTCTCGTCGACCACACCTACCAAGGTCAACAATCTTCTGGTGGAGCAAACATGGAAGGGTGAAACACTACATTAACAACAGAATCTCCGCCCGTGGAGAAGAGCAGCTCTCCGTCTTCGGACAAGTAAAGATCAAGGACACTTTCCTGATGAGCGTGCACCGAGAGCACAAGATCATAGGTCTCCAAAGACCATGCCTAGATTTCGTCTTAGCATTTTTGACCGATAGCAGACCAATCGGTATATTCGGAGACTTGCTCCCACGTACTACAATGTCTCCCCCCTGCAGACCAGCAAAGACACATTCTTTGTCGAGCACGAGGGCCAGAACCGAGCGACTGGCTTGTACGCGGTGGCCGATAGCACCGCATTCGACTGGAGCCGGAAGTTCGGCCTCATCCTGGGCCAGATGGGCCGCCGTCACGGAGCGCGGATCGGACTCCCAGAGCTTAGTCTGATCATCTGTCTCTGATGTCCCATCAGACTCGACGAGTACTGTATGATCCATTGCTCCTGGCAATGGAGCTCAAAAAAGTCTCAGCCTTAATTTCTAACCTTTCTCTTTTTTTTCAAAGAACAAGACAAAATAAAAGTTTCTAAAACCAAGATGATTCTGGGGGATCAATGAACGGCTGGATTCACGTGACGTGTGATAAATGATGTGATGGAATGCGGTGAGACGCAGGGCAAAAAGCGGCCGTTTTGATCGCGTGAGTGAGTCAGTCGGAGCGAAGTCGGACACACGAATTAGACAAGGCCACGACGACGGAGAGATCAAGGCAGAGAAGTAGTACTCCGTAAGCCAGGGGCAATCTTAGTTTTTGGGCTTCCAGGGATGTATCAGTCGCAGATGTTGCAAGACCGACTTTAGATTGTGAGATTGAGTCCGTGAGGAATGTCGGGAGGTTGTTCTTGGCGTTCAAAAGTGGTGAAGAATAAAAAAGCAATAATGAATGGATGATGAATGATGAAATGTTGGCCCCAATAAGGATCGACGGGCGGTGTGGCGGTGTAGAGAGAAGAGAGAGGAGAAGGGAAGACAAGCAAGCATGTAGACCGCCATTGAGACCGCCATGGATTTCCCCATCCAGAATCATTGCCCGCAACCACTGTAAAGAAACCACACCAGACTCACCTCGATGCTCAACGGCGGGAGACTTCCAGCCACAGTTCTCCCTGGTCTTGTATCAGCATATGGATCTTTTAAGCATCCCAGACGAGAAGTTACATTGCACAGGGAATGAAAAACTCCTGGGAGAGGACTCACCATGGCTCCCAAACAAGCCTCGCAATCAACGTCTCAGTCGTAGTAGTTGTGGTCGACATGGTAAATGAACCATCCCCCAGGATACTCGAGTGATATGCGCACAACCTCCCCCTCGAGGGAATCTCTTCATTTCTTATAAAGTCGCCAACGAGATGATTAATGAAAAGGGGGGCGAACGGTTATGAACGGCCACGCAAATCCCACGCCCAGTAGGAGCACAAGGAAAAGGACCAGATGCGTTCTGACGTACGTTGCGGTATGTACAGTACACTCATACATCTCAGGCAGCCCTCTTCCTCGCCTGAAGATGCAGACGAAAGAAGACGATCAAACAGCGCAGGAAGCCAACTATCGGATTCCGATAATAATCCTCCGGCCAGTCATGTGCGAATATCTCGCTGCCGCGTCCTGCAATGGAACAATGAACCAGCAGGAGTATAGACCCGAATCAAGGTCGATTTCCAAGATTGGCCACGTCATTCCCGTGGTTTCCCCCCTGATTGCGACTGTTCAGGGAGATTTGGTATCTTTGACGACAAAGGAGGTATCTATCTATTCTCCATGGTTTGCGATCGTTGATAGTTCCGGACATTGAGGGTCACTAGAGTGTGCCAGTGGGATCTTGTTGGGCGTCGTTGGGACAGTTTGTATGCATGGCGAGTCGTTACATAGACATTTCACTTGAGACGGTATTGTCGGGAACAATGGACGCCCGTTTTAGAGTCCGTTTCGAATCGGCCCAACGGCTCCCAATCTGGAGGCTAGGCGGGTAGCCGATTGACTTGAGATAGCGAACAGCAGGGATGGACAAGGAGCAAGTAGGTAGCGTACACTCAGGTAATAATGCTGACATTGCGTCACTTTTCCACAATTGGGACGATGGCGCATCTGGGAGCGCGTCAGACTGAAGCACTAACTTCGGCCGTAAATCTGAAGGTGGCCGGTTCAAGCCCGGCTCGTCCCATTCTTCTTTTTCCTTTTTTCTTCCCGTTCTCCACCCCAGTACGTACACCTTTCAAGTACCTTCCCTTGAGATACAACTTGAACGTAAACGGGAGATTTTCAACCTGAACTATAACTAGTAAGTTTTGTGGATAATAAGTTCCTGTTAATCACTCTCGGCATACCATACTGGCTTTCTCAGTTGTATGGATTTCTTTTCCTAAAAGCCCATCAGGACTCCGAAGTATATATCGCCGCCCATAGCCGTACACAGCTACACAACGCTCCTTGACCAATCAAAATACAGCTTGCCAGGAACTTTACCATCTAATTGAAGGCTCAGAAATAGAACACCTGGCTTAGCTAACTATATTTCACTGTTAAGAGCGTCTCTGTCAGAAACAGAATGTTGGTCTATCAGTTGTTAGTTTCTAGCATATTTTCCGTTATCTCACATAGTGGTAATCTATCTGACCAGCGATAGCATCCAACCCCCCTTCAAAGCTGCGCAGTCTCCACCCTCCGCCCAATCTCATCGAACCGAATCTGCTTACCCGTCACCAACGCCTCCTGCAAATACGCCCCGATCTCGACAGCCTTAACGGCATTCCCCAACCTTACCGGCAAGGGCGTCCCCTCCAGACACGCGGCCGTGAACTCATTCGCTTCACGCACAAACGCCTCACCAAACCGCCCAACAAAAGTTGGGGGCACCTCGCGCGTGATGCCGCCGGAGTGGTAGTAGTTCACAAAGTCGCGCTGCGGGTTGATGTTGACGGACAGCTTGCCCTCGGTGCCAATGACCTCGGTGGTGTCCTCCTGGCCGTGCGGCATCATGCGCGAGCAGTAGTAGTAGGCGATCTTGCCGCCCCAGAACTCGACGATGCCCACAGCGTTATCGTAGTCATTGTACTGTTTGAGTTCGGGCTGCACGGCCGTGATCCCGTGCGCCGAGATGCTCTTCGGGATCGAGTCCTCCCCCAGAAACCACAGGGTCAGGTCGATGTCGTGCACGGACATGTCCACGAACACCCCGCCAGACCAGGCGGCGTAGGCGACATAGAACCCGGACGGGTCGTACTTGTCGCACGTCTGGCTGCGCAGGATTGACGGCCGCCCGATTAGCCCCTGCGTGATCTTGGAGTGCACTTCGCGGTAGGAGGTGTCAAAGCGTCGGGAGAAGCCGCACATTACTTTGAGGTGGGGCTTGATTTTGGCTTTTTGGACGACGGCTTTGCACTGTTTTTTTTCCGGAGGTGGTTAGTTGGTGGTGTAAGAGAGAGGGAGGGTGGCTAGGGCAAGAACATACTACTTCAACGCTCGTCGAGAGAGGCTTCTCGCAGAGGACGTGCAGGTCCCGGTCAATCGCTTTCATTGTCTCCTCGGCGTGCACGGAGGTGGCCGTGCCGATGACCACGGCTTGTAGGCCCGGGTGCTCGAGCATCTTGTCGTAGTCATCGTACAGCGTGACGCCATAGGGCTCGAGGTGCTGTCTGCCCCAGGTGATCTCCGCAGGGTCCGGTGAGAAAGCGGCCACCAGGTCCGCGCGCGGGGTCTGGTGCAGGAAGTTGTTGACGTGGATCTTGCCTACGCGGCCGAGGCCGGCCATGCCGACTTTGAGCTTTTGGATGGGCATGATTGTTGTATGTGGTGTGATGTGTTGTGATGTGAAATGACAGTAGGAAAGAACGGGAGAGTGAGCTCGAGGTGATTGGGTGGGTTGGATTGAGCTTGTTGCTGAGCTGTTGTCTTTCGTTGTCTTTCGTGAGGGTGTCTAGGTGTTTATATATGTTGACACAACGATTTCCCCTCTCTGGAACATCGCTGGCAGACCCACCGCTCTCGAGGGAAAAGCTCCTCCATCTGTATATCGCAGTCAAAAATGCAGATTTAGTATCATGTCCAGTTGAGAATATCAGAGAACTTGTCGAGAAATGCGGAGAGAGAGGGTCCACTGCTGCAAGAATGCGGAGTAAACAGACGGGCCAAGTTGCCTGCCGAGACGGAAAGACTTGCCCGTCTCTACGGGTTCGGCGACTGACATCTGTGATTGGTCAAATGGGCTGCCTGCGAACGTGAGGGCAAGTCTTTCCTCAGTCACGTTATCTCGTGTATAGTACAAAGACTTGAGTGATCGGAAATCGATCTGCAAGGTTTCGAAAGCAGCTCAGTACCATCTTGAGACATTAGATCTGGAAACATGCGGGGTAATATTATCCGTAAGAAGAGACTTGTACATAGCAGGCCGAGGGGGTTGGTATTCACTATTTTTAAATAGCAGATAATAATTATTAAGAAGAATAATCTATTAGTATTAGTTATAATAATATTTATTTTTATTTTAGCTAATTAAAGAAAAATTATAAACTAATAGTAAAGAATTATTAAACAGTTATCTATAATTATAAAATAATTTTAATTAGATTTTTATACTTTTTTTTAGTAATCTATAAATATTTACTTAATAACTATTATTTATATTCATAATAATCTAATACGTTACTATAGTTTCTTCTAATTTAATAATTAAAAATAAACTTATTTACTAATATTAGTTATTAAAATAAAATTAGACTATTTTAATTTATTTTTTAAAAATAACTATAGTAAAACTATAATTTATAAATAAATATATAATTATAAATAGAAGATAATTAATATAAATTATTATATACAGTTAATCTTTTAGTTATAATATATAAAAATAGTAGAATTTAGTAGATAATAATTAAATTTCTATAAAAAATCTAATATAAATATTTTTTAAATATTATTATAAAAATTAATTAAAGTCTATTTCAGATTTCTAATCTAATATATATAATATTATAAGTCTAAACTTTTATTATAAAAGATATATTACAGAAATTTTATTAGAAGAAATAGAAAATACTAAATATTTAAATAATATATAATATTATAAAATAAAAATATAATTATAAAATTATACTAAATAAAAATTTTAAATTTAAAAATATAAGAATTATTAATTTATTAGCAATAATAAAATAGATATAACTTTAATATTAATCTAAAAAAAATTTAATCTAATATTAGTAAAAAAAATAATATTATAAAATACTAATATTATCCGAAAATATTTTTTTATATATATTATTAAAAGTATATTTAAAATTTTTTAAATTAATATATTAATCTATTAATTTTAAAAATTATTAAATATTAATATTTTAGTATTATTTTAATTATATTTATTTATAAAGATATAATATTTAGTAAGCTAAGAATATTTCTAATAGAATTTTAAAAATACTAAGATCTAAATAAAAAAATTATAAAATCAGATATTATTAAAATCTAATTTTAATAATTAATATATATAATTTATATAAATTAAATAAACTATAAACTCAGCTGGTAATATTTAATTAATTTAAAATTTATAATATTTAAAATTATTAAAAATTAAAGTTAATACAGCTATTATTAAATATAATCTGAAGATAGACTTTTATTTATATTTTTATTTTTTATAAAAAATATTATAGTTTATTATTAGTTTATATTCAGCTGTAAAAACTGAAAAATAAATATTAATATATAAATTAAAAATAATAAGATTTTATAGCTATTTATTATTTTTTAAAAATAATAGTCGATTTAGAAAGATTATTATTTAAATTAATTAAAAAAAGAATACTATTTATAATAATTAAAATATTTTTTTTATTTTATAAATAAAACTATTTTAATTTTTTATATTTAATATTAAAGTAATAGCAATCAGATACTAAAAAATTTAATAATTAAACTAAATTTTTTTTAAATAATAGCCGGAATTATTCTAAACTAAATTAAAATAAATATAGTAGTTAATATAATTATAATATATATTTAAATAATAAATTTTATAAAAAATCTAATTTAAAAATTAAAAATAATTTTAAGAGTAGAATTTTTATATAATTAAAATATTTAATATAAAATTAAATCTGATCAGTCTTATATTATAAAATAATTAGAAATAAAATAATATTCTAATCTAATTATAATAAAATCTAAATTTATAAATATTTTAAAAATAAAATTTTTTAATTATAAAATTTAATAATTCTCTACAGTACTATAGAATATTTTATAATATTAATAAATATAAAAAACTTTCTATATCCAGTTCTATAATTATAATTTAATTTTTTTTAATTAAAGTATAAAATATTAAATAACTGGTTTAAAATAAGATTAAATATTAATATAATAGATTCTAATAATAATAAATCAGTCTGTAATTTTTTTAAAATCTAAAAAATATTTCTATTCAGTAGATATTAAAAAAAACTATATATATTAATAAAATAATTATATTTAAAAATAATAATATTTATTTAATAAAATATTAAATTTTAAATTATATTTTCTTATTTTTAGATAATAGTATATTTAATAATTAATTTAAATATTATAACTTTAAACTTTATTATTTTTTATTTATTATAATATATTATTAATAAAAGCTATAACTAATACAGTTATAACTATCTTTTTTTTATTAATCTTAAGAAGAATTCTGAATACCTTCACTTCCACTTTAATAAAACCTTACTTTTCACTCAAACTTTATATGGGATTCCATACAAAATTTAAGTAAGAGGTAAAGTGAAAGTAAAAGTAAAGTAAAAGATAGATAAAATCAATTTCTTGAATAAGTAACTGATTAAACTGATTGAACTGAATAAATTGAATAAAGTAAACTGAAACTAAACTGAAACTGCTTGCTCAACTAACTAAAAGAACAAAAGGAATTGATCTCTTATTTATAGCTGAATAGCCATATTGATTTTCCGAGGCTTTCCGCGATCATATGAAAAACATATGAAAGTAAATAAATGAATAAATTTCTATTAAACAGAAATAATAGAATGAATAGAAGAAGATTGTTCCAGGCCGTTTTCCCTACTGAGGGGTCACCGGAACTCGGAAATCCACTCCGCGAACTGGCTAATCTGAGGCAGCGAACTGGAGAGCCTGAGGTGGCGAACTAGCGAGCCTGAGGCTACCAACTGGCTATATAGTTGACAAGAAATGATAAGCGTCTTAATCTATATAAGACTTTCCGCAATAGGAAGACTGTTTGTTTGTTTCCTAATCCGGGAATTGGGCCTATATAGATCTTTTTCTTAATAGGATTATTAAAAAAAGCGGTGACAGCATCCAATTAGTTGATTTTAAGATTAAATACAGTAATTAAGGCTAAAAGAATTGTCAACTATATAGCCAGTTGGTAGCCTCAGGCTCGCTAGTTCGCCACCTCAGGCTCTCCAGTTCGCTGCCTCAGGTTAGCCAGTTCGCGGAGTGGATTTCCGAGTTCCGGTGACCCCTCAGTAGGAAAAACGGCCTGGAACAATCTTCTTCTATTCATCCTATTGTTCCTGTTCAATAGGAATTTATTCATTTATTTACTTTCATGTGTTTTTCATATGATCGCGGAAAGCCTCGGAAAATCAATATGGCTATTCAGCTATAAATAAGAGGTCAATTCCTTTTGTTCTTTTAGTTAGTTGAGCAAGCAGTTTCAGTTCAGTTTCAGTTTACTTTATTCAATTTATTCAGTTCAATCAGTTTAATCAGTTACTTATTCAAGAAATTGATTTTATCTATCTTTTACTTTACTTTTACTTTCACTTTACCTCTTACTTAAATTTTGTATGGAATCCCATATAAAGTTTGAGTGAAAAGTAAGGTTTTATTAAAGTGGAAGTGAAAGGTATTCAGAATTCTTCTTAGTTATGAGCCCGGTTATGCCCTTGCTTTGATTATTTATCAATACCTGAGCTTTATTTA